CCCCCCCCCCCCCATTTATAGCCAACCAAGGTGGACAGAAGTGTTAGTAACCTGGGAACTCATTACTGGTTATTGGCATAAGAAGTGGGGAGTGGGTGGCAATCTTGTGGGACTGATCCCTTAATCTGTGAAATCTGTGCTAATTCCAGAATTAAATCGTGGGACATGCAGTTGATATTGGCACAGAATTGTATTACTTAGTGTGAAAAACTCACACATTTTGTTTAGATGTGGAGTGAATAGAGAAGTCATTTTGTTTTAGTTGGGTTTCCTGTAGTTGGTCTATTTTTGTTTGTAGCTACTAGTTATTAATGACAGTATTTGCTAACTATGATTTTCTGGATCTTTCAGTCAAGCCCAGCTATTTTTTAAAAAGTCTGAAAACTTTAAAATGTAATATGACAACACTAACAGAACGTTTCAGGGGAGGTAGGTGGGTGGTTAACAAAATCAGCTTAACACAAATCTTATTCTTTCAATAACATAGGAAGAAAAAACTAATAACAAAAATACAAAAATCACCCTAACATAAAACTCATTAGTCTTATAAAATTATCTTTTAACCTCTTTAAGTGTTTATATTTTTATGTAATTGAAGTAATAATATATACAAACTTTGTACTGAATTTTATAAATTCAGAGTTTTCTTTTTCTCTCAGCAGCAGGTCTTAACAGTGGGCTTAAAATATTCAGTAAGCCATGGTGTAAACAGATGTGTTTTGCTCCATTTCTAGAGTATAGGTGGAGTTGATTTAGTGTCACTAATTTTAAGGGCTCTGGGATTTTCAGAATGGTCAATGAGCATTGGCTTCATTTAAAGTCACCAACTGAGTTATCCCCCAATGAGAGAGTCAGCCTCCTTTGAAGCTTTGAAGCTGCGCATTAACTTCTCCTCTCTAGCTGTGAGAGGCCTAGGTGGCATCTCTTCTAGTAAAAAGGCTGTTTCATCTACAGTGAAAATCTGTCACTGATGGAGAACTTGCGGCAGTTTCTCCTTCAGCACTTACTGCACCTTGCACTTTGATGTTCTGGAGAAAACTTCTTTCCTTAAACCTCATGAGCCAACCTCTTCTTGCTTCCAGCTTTTCTTCTGCAGCTTCCTCACCTCTCTCTGCCTACAAGAATTGAAGAGTCAGGGCCTAGCCCTGAATTAGGCTTTGACTGAAGGGAATGCTGTGTCTGGTTTGATCCAGACCACAAAACTTTCTCCACATCAGCAGTGAGGCTGTTTTACTTTCTTACCATTCGCGTGTTCACTGGAGTAGCACTTTCAGTTTCTTTCAAGAAATTTCCTTTGTGTTCACACCTTGGCTAGCTTTGCTGCAAGAGGCCTAGTTTTTGGCCTACCTGGGCTTTTGACATGCCTTGCTCACAAAGCCTCATTATTTTTAGCTTTTGATTTAAAGCAAAGTGTATGGCTCTTCCTTTCACTTGAACATTTAGAGGCCCTTACTAACTGGCCTAATTTCAATATTGTTGTGTATCAGGGAATGGGGAGGCCAGAGGAGAGGGAAGAAACACTGGTGAACAGAGGGCTGGTAGAGCAGTCGGAACACACATGACTCTTGTCAGTTGCATTTGCTGTCTTACATTGGTTTGGCTCATGGTGACCCAAAACCATCACAATAGTAAAGTCAAAGATCACTGATCACAGATCACCAGAATAGAATCAAAAATAATAAGTTGAAGTATTGTGGGAATGACCAAAATGTGACACAGAGACAAAGTGAGCACATGCTATTGGAAACATGGCCTTGGCAGATTTGCTTTGGTGCACGGTGGGCACAAACCTTCAGTTTTTAAAAAGTGCATTATCTGTGCATTGTAATAAAACAACATATGATAAAATGAGGTGCAGAGTACCTTGTGTAAGTCAGTGTGCAAAGTATCTGTATAAGGAACCAAGAAAAGGAATGTTGACTGGTTGGAGAATTTTGCTTCTCTCTTTTTTTTGCTTATCTTTAAATTTGCATTTTGGAATATTTTTATATCTTTTTTCTTATGTAGATTTCATATGTAGTTTTTATATGTAATAAGTATCACTCTGTGTATATATTTTCATTTTATTCAGTTTTATAGTCATTTTGATGAATACATTCAAAATAGTGTTAATTTATCCTTAATTGGCATTTAGGTTGAAAAGTGATGACTAGACTAGAATGTTCTCATTTTGAAGCAAATATGTAGTGAGCTGTTTTCAATCTTGGGTGCTAGAGGGGCATACCTGTGGAGATGTTTAGGAGAGAGCAGCATGGGTTAGTGATTAAGAACCACTTCTGGAATTGAAATCCTTTCTTCCATTTATTAGCTGTGTGACTTTGGGCAAGTTACTTAGTTTCTATGCCTTGTTTCTCTCTTGCATAGTGAGAATAATGCTAGCATTTTCTGTCTGTCTGTCTCTCTCTCTCTCTCTCTCTCTCTCTCTATATATATATATATATATATATATATATATATAAAACTTTTTTTTTTTGAGAGACAGTGTCTTGCTTTTTTGCCCAGGCTGGAGTGCAGTGGCATGATCATAGCTCACTGCAGCTTTGAACTGCTGGGCTTAACTACTTCAACCTCTCTAGTGCCTGGGATTACAGATATGAGCCACCAGGCCAGTGTGTACCATATGTATTTTTGATGAATCTTATTGTCAGTTTTTGTGCTCTGAATCTCTTTTTATCCAGTGTTTTACTAGATTTCACTTTGTTTTTCTTTTTTGAGTAGGGGTTTCACTCTGTTGCCCAGGCTGAAGTGCAGTGGCATGATCATGACTCACTGCAGCTTTGTCCCTCTTGGGCTCAGGCGATCTTCTGCCTCTTCCCCCTGAGTAGCTGGGACTACATGTGCTTACCCCCACACCTGGCTAACTTTTTAATTTTTTGTGGAGACAAGGTCTCGCTATGTTGCCTAGGCTGGTCTCAAGCTCCTGGGCTCAAGTAATCCTCCCACCTTGGCCTCCCAAAGTGCTGGGATTACAGGCATGAGCCGTTGCACCTGGCTCAAATGTATTTATAGTAACATTTAGGTATATTGTGAATGGAAATGTTGGATGATAAATGTTTTGAGGGGGATACCTTTAACCCTCCAAAATGTGTCTTTGGTGGTGTCATATCATGTGTTGGAGACAGAGTGGTGGGTGACGGGTGGCTAGATCATTGGGCAGCACTGGTCTTTCTTGCACCCCTGGAATCATTGTCATTTTAGTGTGTGTGTGTGATGGAAGCGAAGATCTGCTTCACTTCCATTTTTAATGGCCATTCAATCATGAGCGAGTCACTTAGCTGCTTTAAGTTTGTTTTCTCCTCAGTAGAGGTGACATCCGCCTTGCCGGCCATAGAGACACTATTATGATTAAATAAGATGCCTTAGGAAGGTGACTTGAAGACTAAAAGCATTATATACAAAAGCAAACTATTAATGTCAAAGACTGGACATGAGAGATACATGTAGAGATTTTGGTACATTATTAGGCATAATCTTTTATAAAGGAAAATGTTAGTGCTGTTTGTTGTGATACTTACATATGTGAAAAAGTTATTACATGGCTTATGAATATACTGTTAATACTACCTTGATTTCTTTCCCTCCATCTGTGTTTCAGACTCCTGGGAGAGTCGGCTCTCAGGGACCTGAGCTGGATTCATCTGCAACTCCTATAAACACAGTGGACGTCAGTAATGAGAGCTCTTCCGAGGTATGAAACAATGACTTGGCAGCAAAACTTAATCTTACTTAAGACAAAACCAGTGAATCGTTGGTGTAACAATTGGTGACTCAAACCGTCTTTTGTAGGAAGAGTTTTCATAAGTTTTTTCTTACAAATTGGAATGTGACTTGTGAATCATGCTTGCAGATATACACTTGTGCTTGTTATGAGAGTGTAGTAGACTGAAAAATAATACTGCCAATTTGTCTTTAATGCTGGTGAGTCTTAATAAAGATTTGTAAAAGCCTGTTTATAAAGAATTACTGGTTAATTAGTATCTCTTTATGTATGTGAACAGTCACGAACAACTGGGCTAATGAAATATCGGGTTATGTATAAAATTTAGACATTGTTTGCTGTCTTCATTTGTGACATTGTAAGGACTTTTAAATATTTTATTTAGATTTTTAGCATTTTATTTAGTAAATAAGTTTAAATAATTACTCTGAATCTTTGAAAAGTCAGGCTTAGTAATTGTAATATTATCGTTATTTTAAATGGACAAGTAATATTTACCGATTATAGAAAAAGTAGATAAGGAAAGAGAACATAAAAGTCCCCTGTAATAATACCACCAAAAGCGACACACTCCTGTTTTGCTGTGACAGTTTCTGGGCCCAGCTGGACCCCTACCTAGTCCCCCTTTCTGGCAACTGCTCTCCCTTCCCCTCCCTTGATTGGTGAGTATGTCTGTCACACAAGTGTTTCTGGGTATGTCTCGATCCATTCTTCTGTTTTGTCTCTCTCTGACCACTCTCTCTTCATCCTGTGTCTTCATGTGTATGTTTATTAACCATAATAAGATCTTACAAGGCTGTGAGCGGGAGAAGAAAAGTATCCATTGAGCTTTATTAAGAGTAAGCTTAAGGAAATGTCTTTAAAAAAATGTTCCAGCCAGGTTCGGTGGCTCAGTCTGTAATCCCGTGCCTTTGGGAGGCTGAGGTGAGTGGATTGCCTGAGCCCACGGGTTCGAGACCCGCCTGGGCAGCGAGACCTCATCTCTACAATAAATCAAAAAATCAGCCAGGCGTGGTAGCGCTTGCCTGTAATTCTGGCTACTTGGAAGGCTGAGGCAGAAGGATCGCCAGAACCCAGCAGGTCGAGGCTGCGGTGGTCGGGAGCGGCCACTGCACTCCAGTCTGGGCGATAGAGTGAGACTCCAACTCAAAAAAAAAAGTTCCAAACTGTGTTCATGATAGGGTGGACTCAAAGTGCTCAGTTGTAACCCGGGAGAAGAATCTAGTCATAATTGTTGACCTCAGTTAGACCGAAACCAGAAACCACAAAGCAACTCCAGTGAGTGTTGGTGGTGAGCAGTTACTGCCAATACTGCTTTCTTTTCCTAGTAGGGCTGATTTCCTTCTCTTTGAGATAGTGATTTTGTACTTTTTAATCCTCAAATCTCTCATGTCTTTTATCCTCTTTTCACCTTCCCTCAGTCACCTTTTATATCATTGATAAAATAGGAACCATCAGTTAAGTGTTCTTGTTTTATCACCCAAACTCCACTTACACTTGTATTCTCTTTCTTACTTCAGTACATGAAAGATGGGGCCCTTTTATTAAAATTCAGTCCTTTCTCTGACTTTCATTCTTATTCTCACTCCTTCCTACCACTATAGCTTTCCCTATATTGTGAATAATTCCCAATAACTTACAAACATGTTTAACATGATACACATGAAAACTAGCAAGGTAAGAACACCAGAGTCAAAGTGGAGAAAGCCAAAACCCAAACTCTTCCTTTGACTGCGGCCCTCACTTGCCCTCTGTCCTTTGCGTCCTTCAGAGCTGTGCCTCTGCCATATGCAGGCCACACTCACTGGCTCTTGTCCTCTGCTGAGGTCTGTTTTGTCTGTTTGGTAAATTGATCTTTTATCATTGTATCTAACAGTAATGGAGTAGCACATCTTGTGTATTTTTTTCCTGTCTTTTCACTTTTCAATTTTTTTGTTCCTATTTTTTAGGTGTGTTTTTTTTTTTGTGGGTATATATTTTTTAAACAGCATATAACTTGTCCTTTTAAATTGGGAGAACCCATTTGAATTATTTCCAATACTGATGTATTTTGATTTCTTTTGACTACTCTTTGTGTTTTCCCTTGCCCTGCTTTTCTGTTTCTTATTCTTGTTTTCCCTGAGTTTGAATTTAGTTCTTCACTGTGCCTTCTTTGTGCTTCTGTCATGCCACACTCTTCTGGTTTCTTTGACTTCTCTGACTGTTAGTCTTTTTTCTTTGCTGGCTCCTTTGGTAACTGGCCTTCTAGTGGTAGAGTTCATTGTTGGAGTTAGTCCTTGGCACTTCTACCAGTTTGGATATTATGCATTTTATTCTGCTCTTTTACTGTTTTTATATTTTTGCTGTTTTAACATGGGTAATGTCTAAAATATTTCTTTCCTCCCATTTCAAGGGCCTTTGAACACTTAAGTATGAGTTACTACTTTCCACCTTATATTCTATTGGCTGTTCATTATTTTGGGTTTATTTTACTTTCTTTTATCCTCACAAATTAGATGTTATTATTGTTTTCTGTTGTTCCTTAGATTTATGCATGTATTCACCAGGGCATTTGTTTACCATTCCTTCTTGCGTCTTCAGCCTTCCATTAACAATTATTTTCTTATTTTTATAATACATCCTTTAGGCTTTTCTTTAATGAGGATTGATTTGCTAGACTCTCAGTTTTAGTCTAAAATTTTATTTATTTCATGCTTATTCTTGACATAAGATTTTGCTGTGCATAAAATTGTACAGAGGTTTATTTTCTCTCAACACATCGAACACATCCATCTCTGTCTTTCTGGGTCACATTGTTACAGTTGAGAAAACTGCTTGTAGCCTAGTTGATGTTCTTTTGAGGGGATCTTTTACTCCACTTCCATGGTGGTTTTTACAGTTAGCTAGCCAATTGGTTCATCTGTCCCTCTCTGTCTCTGTCTCTTTCTTTTCCTGTTACTTATTTATATGTTTTAACCCTGCTTGAGACTCATTGGGCTTCCTACACACATGAATTTGTTTTTGAAGGTTCTGGAAGATCAGTAATTATCTTTGATTTTTGCCTCAACTTTTTTCTGTTACTGTCATCTGAAACCCAGATTAGACATGCAAATGCACCTCAACTTACGGTGGGGTTATATCCTGATAAAGTCATCATAAAGCCAATAAAGTCTTATGTCAAACGATTGTAAGTTGGGACTTTTTGTTAAAATGTTTCACTCTATGGTTCACTCTTCCTATTTTATGCTTTATATCCTCCTTTTTGTTTTTCATTTTAGCTTTAAAATAATCTCTTGTCCAGTCAATTAAATATTTCCTTATTGTTGGAGAACATATACTGTTTAATATATTCTTTTATTGTCATTTTCATTGTCCTGTTTTTGATTTCTAGAAGTTCTGTTTGCTTGCTTTTCAAATCTAGGTTTTCTTTTTTTGTGGTTTCTTATTCTTTACTTTTATTTTTGGCTTCCCTTTTATTTACTTAAACATTGCAAACATGATTGTTTTATATTTTCTTTCTGGTAACATTTATAGTATTACAATATTTGAAACTGCAGGTTTGATGCTGTTATATGTTCTCTCTGCTGGCTGCCATTCATAGTAACTTGTTTTCTTGTGTATTTTGTGATTTTTTTTTGACTGTGAATTTATGTTTCTTGGAACTTTTTCTTGTGGAAGCTCTTTGTGACCTGTGTCGATGTTCTTCCATAGAGGATTTGCTTTTGCCAGTGTTCTAGATTATGTATTACATATATTACGTGTTATATAGTGTTACAGTTGATCCTTGAACAACACAGGTTTGAACCGTGTGGGTCCATTTATCCATGGATTTTCTTTCACCTTTGAAATAGCAAGACCAACCCCACCGCCTCCTTCTTTTCCTCAGCCTACTCAACACAAAGCCAACGAGGAAGCAGGCCTTTATGGTGAGCCACGTCTACTGAATGGAGCAGAACCTCAGAGAGATCCCATTAATGGGGGACGGCCTTAAATTATTATAACAGGATGGCTTTAAATCACGCTTCCTCAAATTACACAGTAGCATATATTCCGACTACCAGTCTAGCTGAGAGCTGTCAGTAGTTGTGGCTTCTCAGGAGAAATTGTTTTTTCCATCTGTCCACTGCTAAAGTACAGACTTACCTGAGTCTTGGTTGGTTTCTTTCTCTCTGAGTTTTGTTTCTTTTTTACCTTAACTTTGATGTTGCCTTCCTACCTTGGACAAGCGTTAGGTTTTAGTATTGTGCCTTAAGCAGTCATCTAAATGAAACTTGAAATATCATGATTTCCAGAACATTGAAGAAATATTCAGGGTGAAAGCTTACTTTAGTGCTCATTTACATAATATTTTATACTTATATATAGTTGATCTTTGAGCAACATGGGAGTTAAGGGTGTCAACCTTCTATGCAGTTAGAAATCCATGTACAACTTTTGATTCCCCAAAAACTTAGTTACAAATAGCGTACTATTTGCCAGAAGCCTTACCAATAGTATAAACAGTTGATTAATGCATATTTTGGATTTTATATGTATTATATACTATATTCTTACAATAATGTAAACTAGAGAAAAAAATGTTATTAAGAAAATCATATGGCTAGAAAGATTTCATTGAATAAAAAAGAAACAAAATCATAAAGAAGAGAAGATATCTTTATTATTCATTAAATGGAAGGTTGTAAGGGTCTTCATCCTCATTTTCTTCAGTAGGCTGAGGAGGAAGAAGTGGGGTTGATCTTGCTATCTCAGACATGGCCGAGCTGTAGAAAATCCCTGTATAAGTGGACCTGTGCAGTTCAAATCTGTGTTGTTCAAGGGTCAACTGTAATAATGTGTGTAATATGTAATGTAATGAGTGATATTTTATGTCATTTAGTTGCTTTCATTAGGAAGTTTTCACACTGCTTAGCGTACCACATTGCCAGAAGCACATCTCTGCTCACTGTTAATCACACTCCAATCAGATTTCCCTCTTCCTAGTAGTTTCC